ACCTTCTCATTTCCTGCAGGTACTTAATCATGGCCCGTTTATATCCGACTGTACTTGTGCCAACAGAGTGCTTCCGCTCAAGCAGCTCTTGTCCCTCCTCGGCACTTGGCCCTCATGGTCCTCAGTGAGGAAATGTCCCTTATTCAGCCACAATCCCAGTGCTCTGCGGGTCCAGCTCTGTTCATGTCCCCAGGGCCAGCTCCCCGTGTCCCCAGTGGTCCTCACAGCACCCGATCCCTCCCTCCCAGCAGCACTCAAGGCGCTGCTTGAACACCACTGGGGCTTCCCCAGGACCTCTGGGCTGGCCCAGCCAAAGGCACAGGCGCTGTCCCTGCCACCGTGGCCGTGCCCAGGGTGCCTGTGCCCTACAGCCCCCCAGCACCCACAGAGCATCGCCCGGGGGTTCCGGAGGCGGCACTGGCACGCAGGTCCTGGCACGAGTGGTGGCTCGCACGAGCTGAGGGATCTGCGCTCGTCCCTATGTAGGTCACTGGCTGAAGTGCTCTGCGGGAACATTAGTCACTCTCCCAGCCACGGGGCCCAGGAGAAGGCTCTGGAGCCCAGCCAGGGCAGGGGGTCTCCGCCACCCATCTTCCCACAGGGCAGCACCCACGGGCACCCTGCGGGCTCCTCTCTGAGCCCACCAAGGTTCCTGGGCACCCTGGCCACACACACCATGGCTCACGCTCATGGAAGGGGTCCTGTCTTTTGAGAAGGAGCAGCCTCCTGGCACACAGAGGTCACCAGCTCTGCTGCCATTGCTCCCCTCCATGTGCAGATGTGCTGGTGCCGCAGATGGAGGATGCACGTGGTCAGGGAGAGGGGAGTACAAAGCCTCTACGGGAGCCTTCAGAAGCTGCAGAAGCCAAATTATTCCTCTGTCTCCCGTGGATGATAATATGGCTGTCATGGCAGTGGTGTCTCTGTTCCCTCTGCTACCTGCTGGCGTTTCTACCTCTCAGCCAAGCAGAGGAGCATCGCTATCACCGTTTTAATGAGACATGAAGAGGTAGAGTGACCTGCCTGAGGCAGCACGGCAGAGCGGTGCAGACAGCCCATGTGGAGCAGGAGCACCTCCAGGAGGAGTTTGTTTCATGTCCCAGGGCTTCCCTCGGCCACATCCATGGAGGAGCAGGTGAACATCCCTGGAGCTGCTGCCAGCACTGCAGTTCAGTGCTGCTCTTTGGGGCTGCAGGAGGGACCACCCTGGGAGGAAGAACACCCAGCGAACGTGGTGTGAGCAATGCCATGCTCCTCAGAGCCCTGGAGATGCTCTGCGTGTCTACAGGGACCTGGGAAGATGCTTGTCACAGAGATTCAGCCCAGAGAGCGCGACTGAAGCCCAGGGCTCTGCCAGCACCTCTGGCCCAGGATGATCCTGAGCGAATGGCAGGACCAGGGAAGTGGAACACAGCTCATCACCAGACCCGACAGCCCTGTCCTCACCAGGGAGGGTGTTTCACTTTTCCAGAAGGGGCTTGGGTGCCCATCTGGAGCCCACCCTCCCCAGCGTGCAGAGCAGCCAGCTAGGCTGGGGGGCCCTGGCATACCAGGACTCCATGGGCTTCCTCTCATGCCAGGAATGGCATCAGAAAGCCACAAGCTTTCCCCAGAGCACATTTATGGAAAAATCTGGAAAGGCTTCACCACCGAGCTGTTCCCATGCCACCTGGGCCACCCCTGCACACACTGGTCTGGGCTTGGGGGGCTCAGCTCCAGACACAGCAGGCCCCCTGGGATAGCCCCTGTCTCACTGGTGCCCACCAGCCACAGTGCCGGCAGCCAGCGTTGCGGCCTCTGCAGCTGCATCGCCCAGCACAGAGAGCGTCCTTCCAGAATACAAATTCCTGCCTTTAAGTGCATTCCCAATGCCATCGAGCAGCCTGCCCCCCTTTATGTGCTTTGGACAACAGTGGTTACCAGGGGAATCTGGGAATTAGCAAGTGTCCTCCTGTCTCCCTGTGCCTCAGTTTCCCCACCATCAAACAGCCTGGACTACACAGACCATCTCCGCAAACACGCGAGGCAGGCTCAGCTCACAGCACTGGTTAGGACTGGAGTAGTGTTGTTAGCATGGACGGGAATTATCCATGGCCTCTGGATGCCACCATGCTATTAAATAATTATAATAATTATCATTTGTAAAGAAGACAACCTCAGTCCAAAGGAGCTTCTGCGATGAAATCCACCCCACTCCTCCGAGTGCGCCAGAAGGACGAACCCTGCCCGTGGAGAAGGGACGCAGGAAAGGGCCAGGGGTACCAGCCTCAGACAGGTTCTGCCCAGGGATCCCCCCGCAGCCCCCTGGCCCCCCTCTCCTCGGGCAGCACAGCAGGGAGGCAGTGCAGCCGGTGGTCCCCCGCGTCCCCTGCCACCACGGCCGTGCCCCCGGGAGCTGCCGAGCGTGGAGACCGCCAGGAGCTGCTGCTGGCACTAACTGCGTCGTGCCACCCAGAGCGGGCAGCTGACATCGATGTCCCCGTGTGTCCCCATGCAGGCACGCGCTGGCACAGCCGAGGCCCGGTGGTTACTCATACGTGTCCACCTCATGCTCCCAACACAAAACCGGCTCCGCGGAGACCTCCCGCCCCCCCGCACCTCTAACGGGCTTTGTGTGCGATCCCGTAGGGATGGTCGGGACCGGCGCACCCCGGGAGCTGCGCCTCCCTATTTCGCAGGACTGGCTGGGGCTCGCTCCCGCATCCCGGAGCCCCGCTGGCGGACACAAGGCCTTGGGCGCGGAGCGCGGCGCCAGGAGCAGCCGGGAGCAACGTGGGCTGAATCCCTCCAGCCCCGGCCGGCGTCACCGCGGCGCGCGGTACCGAAAGTGCCATCCCTGGATCTGCGTGTGCGTGTGTCAGCCGGCACAGCCCCGGCTGACCGACCCGTCGCTAACGAGGGGGAGCGGAGCACAGCCGAGCCCGCCCGGCTGCTCCCCAGCGCGGCTCCCGCACGCAGCCCCCGCACGCAGCGACCCGGCCGGGGCGGCACGGCGAGGCTGCGGCACCGGGGCACGACCTGGGGGTTTTTGACCCCTCCGACACAGCAGCTCCCACCAGACATTCACCTCCCTCGGCTGCACACTGTGCCACCGCTCCAGTACGGCTGTGACCCCCAGAGACCCCCGCCACGGCAGCCGGCGGCCACCTCCGTGCGCGGTGTCCAGCGCAGGGGGCTTCGGAGCCGGGTGCCCAGCGCACGGTGCCTGCCATGGAATGCTCAATGCGGGGTGCCCCCGTCCCCGTGGCTCCCGCAGTTCCCCAGACAGCTCCTGCTCAGCGGGGGTAAAGAAGGGAAGGACAGGGAAGTGCCGCGATCCCCGGGGCTCCGGGGCCGGACACCACGCACCGGCGGCCGGGAGAAGGGGGACACAACGGATCCCCCTCGCCAGCCCAGCCAGGCTCTTCGCCCTGGCCCCGCCGGCCCCTCGCATATCCCGCGGGGCCGCGGGTGTCCGCACCGCCCCCGCGCCCCTGGGGTCCCCACACCGTCGCGCAATCCCGGCTTCAGGGCTCCCGGTACCGCGTCGCCGTTCCTGGCCCCGGGGCTCCCACGCCCCGGCCGCGGGGTCGCCCGGGGTCCCGGTGCCGGCCCGGCGCCGCAGGGCCGATGCCTGCAGCGCCCTGCCCGGCCGCCGACCCGCTCCCCGGGAGAGCCCTCTCTCCATCCCACCGGTACCTGGTGCTCGGCGGCGGCGGAGCGGCTCCGGCAGCGGCAGGCGCGGGGCTCGGCGGGGCGGGGCGGGGCGGGACAGCGCGCGCTCGCCGGTACCGGGGCGGAGCCGGTGGGGGCGGAGCCTCGCCGCGGGGAGCGCGCGCGGGTGCCGAGCCCCGGAGGAGCCCCGGAGGAGCCCCGGTACCGGCACCAGGCGGGTCCTGCCCGGACGGTGCGGTGGCTGCGCGCCCCGGCCCCGCGGGCCCCCGGTGTGCCGGTGCTACTGCGCGGGACAGCGCTCGGCGGGGCGGCCGCGGGGCTGTGGCGTCACCTGGATGCCCGAAAGATCGTGAGCTATTGGGGTTTGATCCATTTGCTTCCCACAAGATCATTCCCTCCAAATCCACCCGCAGCCAGTTTTGGCCGTGGCTTCCCCGCAGCAGCCCTCAGAGGGCTGTGCCCCATCCCGAGGAGCTCCCGGGGCTGCCTAGGAGCTGCGGGGGTCAAGCTGGAGCCTTTGGTCACCGGCAGCAACCACATTTCCCCGAACTGCCTTGGACTGCCCCCTTTGGGCTCCATGTTGTTGTCAAGGGCTGGCCTGGGGATGCAGTGTGGCTCCTTCTCTGCCGGTGGAATGATCCAGGAGGAAGCTCCAGCACTGACCAACTTACCGGGGCTGGAAGGTTCCTGTGGCACCCCCTGCCCTGTGCAGACCTGCCAGGGCTGCTCCAGCACACCCGGGAAGGGCAGAGGTGCCCAGTGCCCGGAGCTGCCCTCATAGGGCTCACAACATGACCACAGAGTTCCATCAGTGACAATGGGGCATGGCAGGGCCATTGCTCATCCTGAGCTTACCAGACGATGTTCTTACCCAGAGACTCCCAGGACAGCTTTCTGGACAGCATCCTGCTCATGCACAGGCTGCTTTATCACACCACAAAACCAGGAGCCTCCTGGACTAGAGCCAAGGGCTCAGTTTGTGACCCTTCACTGGAGCCACTGGGTTCTAGAAAGAACCTCCTTACTATTTTCAAAATGCCCTTGCATCCACAGATGACCTTAAATTACAGCACCACGCTGTAGAGTTATGCCTGCAGCCCCCTGGCATCATGGCAGGTGCCAGAGCCATCCCATCCCTGCAGCAGGATGCACAGATGAGGAGCTGGGGATGAAGGGGGCAGGATAAGTCTGCGGAGCTGGGGTGGAGGGAACCAGGGCAGGCAGGGGGTGAATGGCCCCCAGAGCAGTTGGGCCTTCAGGGTATAGACCGACTGGGGGAACACGGATAGTGTCCCCTTCCATGGTCACGGGACCCCAGCAGAGCCTGACCAGCCCATCTCCCCCAGAGCCACTACGTGGCCTGCATGGCTGCCATCCTGAGCCAGATGGACAAGGACCACTACAGTGCCTACATCCAGGCGTTCCCCTCCAGGCCTGAGCTGATGGTGAGTGCTGCCCCTTGGCAACACCCTCACAGCATCTCCCTGAGAGGGCATTGTGGTCCAGCCCAGCTCCTGATGTCTCCCCCTCCCTGGTAGGACTTCCTCATGGAGACCTTCATCCTCTTCAAGGACCTGATTGGGAAGACAGTGTATCCCTGCGACTGGGTAGTGATGAACATGGTGCAGAACCGGTTAGGACCTGGGCTGGAAGGGGCCTGTGGGCAGATGCTGGGGCTGGGTGTGAGACCCTGGAGCTCCTCTCTGGGCACGGGGCAGGCAGACACTGGAGCACAGCTCCAGGCACACAGGACCGCTGCACCCAGGTGG